GGAATATAAGTCCACTAACCACACGTTAACACTAATAAAATATAGAGAATAAATGAAGGCAGAATCAGCAGCTTCCCCTCGAGCATGTTGCATTTGTAAAAAGGAAACACATCATAACCCCCACCTCACGCCCTAGGGATTCAATTTATTCTCCAAAATCCCCTCCCGAGACTTCTCGCGCGACTCCCGGACCTCCTTCTCCCAGGACGTCTCCCTACTCCGCGCGCTCCGCTTAGAACTACTAAAACAATTCCACGAGTACGACCCGATGCCGGTGACTGAAGGGGCCATGGCCGCCCGCTGGATCGCGTCCGGGTCCTCCTCAAGCTCCTTCAGTGCGATGTAGTGCCGGCGAACCCAAATCCAAAACCAAAAGGTCAGAATGGAAGAAAAAATAAATGCCATGCGGGTATCCCGGGTGTACGTCTCCTGCTCCTCACGCAGCTGCTTGAGGACCTCGCGGTTGATCTGAAAGGACACCTCCTGCATCTTGCCATGAACCTGGCTGAGCTGGAGCGTTTTGTCGTGGTAGTCAAAAACCATCTTCCGGAAGTGCTTATCCGCCTCATAATGAAAGTTTTCGTAGATCGAGCGCAGCTGGTGAACCTGCCTTTCACGAGTCCTCAAAAGCTCAACTAACTCATCGTCGGACATCGCACGGTACGTATCCGCGGTGGGGCGTTTTAGGTGATCGTAGGAATGATCGTTGATAAAGGGGCTCGTATTCAACCCTGAAGAGCGAGAGGAGGGGGTGTAGGTATTTTCCTGCTGGAGGCGCTGGCGTTCTTCCTGGAACCGTTCATAGGAGCCGTCGTCATTGCCAGTGAACGCGGCAGAAGAAAAAGCGCTGGACATCGCCGCGAGTCGACATCCAGCGTGGCGAAACATATAGAATACTCAGTGTAATTTCTTCAAGTTTCTTCTACAAGTCTAACTAAACCTACGCCACAAAAAAGACTCTGCAGCACAAAAAAGAAAAGCCGCTGTGGTGCGACCACAAGGAATGCGTGAAGTAGGGAGAGGGAGGGAGACATTGAAATACTTCAATAAAACCTATACTATAAGCTGTTAGACTCAAGAAGGTTGAACTCCACATCACATAGAGCATTAAAGTGATTATCCTTTTCCATGTTCATCTACAAACTATGCGTTTACCTTCAGTACTGAAAAAAACTGAGCAAGTGAGATAATCGATTTATTGCTTGTTCTGCAAATTATTTCAAAAGCAACTAGCTACCCACGTTTAAAAAGTCACGCTTAAAGTGATGAGACTCACGCACTTTTTCTTTATGAAGCTAAAGTATTAATACCTGAAAAGGTTATGTTAAAGAAAGTAAAGACAAAAAGGGCATAACAACCCTCATCCCCAGATCAATACAAACATATACATATATATATATATATGTATATGTATATATATGTGTATGTGTACGTAATGTTGCAACGTTTGAAAAGATACTGTAAGTTTGGAGCATTAAAGGTGAGTGCAACTTGCGCTCAATGTAAAAATATATAGTATTACGTAAAGTACAAATCAAACTTTGCTAAATGCCATGGATTAAACCTTCCCCTGATGGTCACCACTGTTATCACTCTCGTCTTACTTCATCTAATAATCATCTCCTTTGGATATAATTTCCTTCGCAGTCGGCTTCAACAAAATCGTATGCTCTAACTGTGCGGTGTAGCATCCCTTAACATCACAAAGGGGTGGATACTTGTTCACTGCTCCTTGTTCGACAAGCTGGTTGAGGTTGAGCAAATGTCGATCAAAGCCATCACGGTCTAGCCACTTTCGGCAGAAGGCGAGAGTGCCGTAGGTTTTGTGAATATGCCGGAGGAGCCGCTGCGCCTTATCGGAGCGCATCTGCATCACCTCAGCGCCTGGAACCATCATATAGTGCGAGCACTCCAGGTCCTCCGTGACGTACCCCCGCCCCGTCGACCCGAAGGTCTCGATGGCGAACAACTCCCCCTCCTCCATCTTGGTCTGCTCGCCGCCCTTGACGATCGGGACGCTCTTTCCGCTGTGAATAATGTACGGGGCGATGTTGTGCCCGCTCAAGTTTCGAATCGACTTGACCGGGTAGACGGTGCCGTTAATCTCGACCTCGTGGGACTCCATCACCTCCTCGATGGCGGCCCCGATATCGCCAAGGCGGACGTCGATGCCGGCCTGTCGGACGCCCTCGTAGGTGGCCTCGCGCACGGCCTGCAGGAGGGGCTCGTAGACCGGGTTAAAGCAGGCCGTCCAAGCCGAATCCACAATACGCCCGTTCACCTGCGTCCCGAAGTCGACCTTGACGACGTCGTCGTAGCCCAAGACGACCTTCTCATCCCCTGTGTTCGGCGTGTAGTGAGCGGCGACGTTGTTGAGGGAGCACCCCGTCGGGAAGGCCTGCCCGCGGTGAAGGCCGTCCTTCTCAATCAACTCCCCCAACTTCTTCTCAATCCGGTCGGCGAGCAGCATCAACGGGAGGCCGGGGCGGATCCAGCTCTGGGCCCAGCGCCGCACCTGGCGATGAACCTCGCCGGCGAGGCGGAGGTCTTCGATCTCGGCCTCCCCCGCCTTCTCCCGCTCCCGCTTCTCCGCGCTGTTCAGGCGGAAGGTGTTAAGGGGGCCGGGGTGCTCGAGGATCTCGCCCAGGGGGAAGTGCCCCGAGGGGAATTGCCGGCGGATCGTCACCGTTGGCTCCGGCCATGTTTGCCGCGGGCAGTCCGGTAGGGCCGCGGGATAAGGATTCTCGGGGTGGCTCTCGGAGCTGGGCTGGACGGGCTCGTCCGCGGCCATGTTCCTCGGGGGAAGGGCGCGAGCCCCCCCTCCTCCTCCGCCCCGTTTGGGGACCTTCAGCGCGGCCGCATGGTTCTGCTGAACCGCAGCGGCCAACAAGGCGTCGAAGTCGTCGTCGTCGTCGTGGGCCTGTTTTTTGCCTTTACCGCCCTGATGGGCCTTCTTCGCGGGCATCTCTCCGGTCGCCGTAGGGGCTGGGGTGATGGGTGTCTGTGAAGGTGATGTGGGTGTGACCGTCCTTTCCTAGTGTTAGTGGTGAGATAAAGAAAAGGGTGCAAGAATAAAACAAGTGAGGTCATCATCACGAGGGTTGGACATTCTCAGATCTTTGCCCCCTCTCCCCTCCCTTAATTAATAAACTGGGAATTGGAAAGAAAGGACCCCCAATGTTAGGAAAGGGGAAAAAGGTCAACACGTCTGCCCGTGTTCGCCAGATACTGGATTATTCCATGGTTGAATACCCCATCAATGCGGTATTCGCCGTTTTATTGAAGCATTAGGGAGGCGCACGGTGTAGGGCGGATAAAAGGAAATGCGCTTGAGTAACAAATGGCTCGGGTTATTAAAAGCCCAATGGCTTGCTTGACACAGAGAAACATTACGCAAAATATATTCGATAGCAATATTTTTTACAATGCAAGCTATACTTTTAAAACATAATTTTCCTGAACCTTTATTGATTTGTTGTTGATGATTAGTAAAATAAAGAAGATTATTTGAAGTAATGTCTGGTCTTTCCCTACTCATGATCCTCATTCCCCTCTTCTTACGCAATACGAAGATTTAGATAGGCATATGATAGCAAAAAATGCGTACTTTTAATATTTAAAGGTCGTATCTAATATCTTTAGGGTAACATCACATATTGTACCAAATTCTCACTTTGCTAGAAAAAGGTATTAGTAAGCAGGTAAGTTGCAAAGGGAAAAGAATGTCTTGAAATTCGCAATAAAAATAGCATAAATTGAACTCGAAAAAAAGTAGATAATGAAACTTCGCACTTTAAATTAAATTTTCATCGATATTCTCAAATGTTTGAAAAATAAAAGTCATAGAAAATTAGCAGAATGTAACAATTTCACCCAAGATCAAAATGCTGAGATGATAGGTGTTTTTGAAGTTTGTTATAAATAGAAGAAATAATTACGATATT